TCTCGCCGGCGAGAACGACGCGGGAGGACAAATCAGGATCCTTCTGCAGCAGTTTATTTGAAGACTGAAGACCAAAGACCACGAGAAGCGGGAGAGCGGTTGCTTATATATGCCCTAAAGGTCCCATTTATGACGTATAAGAAGCAGATTGGTTGCTGGAGATCATGCCACGGGAGGAGGCGAGGGAGAGCAGGCTCTTGTGCACGCCCCTTATGGGCGCAGCAGGATGTTTACTGTTAAGAAGGTCCGGATACCGGCGCCATCTTGTAATGGCGGTGGAGGCTGTGGCTCTCCAAAACAGACTACTTTCTTAAAAATTTAATTATTTCTGGTGAGATGACTCGCAAATAAAGATGCTTGTCCCCACGCTAGAGGACCTGAGTTCAATGCCTAGGACCCACATGGTAGGAGAGAACGACTCTTGAAAGTATGAGACCTCCACCTGTACACTGTGATGGTCCGGATACCGGCGCCATCTTGTAATGGCGGTGGAGGCTGTGGCTCTCCAAAACAGACTACTTTCTTAAAAATTTAATTATTTCTGGTGAGATGACTCGCAAATAAAGATGCTTGTCCCCACGCTAGAGGACCTGAGTTCAATGCCTAGGACCCACATGGTAGGAGAGAACGACTCTTGAAAGTATGAGACCTCCACCTGTACACTGTGATATGTGCCCCCACCGCCCCGCATACACAAATACATGTAAAAGATAAAAATAAATTTAATTATTAATATTAGGAAATAAAATAATGCATTTCTGTTGTGATTTTAAATTTGGTATTTGATTATGATATGGCTGTGCTTTGTTTATGTTGTGAAGAGGCCTATAAAAATGCTACTACAATTTAGAGGCGCCTAATCAGAGCACCTTTCTCTCCCATTTTAGGGATATTATTATCTCTCACCTGATAGAAACAGAAAAATAATGCTGTGCCTAGCTTGTGGACGATCCATGAGGGCAAAGAAGAGGCTGAAACAGCTGCTTTCAAGGGTTCCATTCCTCTGTGTTTCAGGCCTCAAGATCCAGAAGCCCTTATCACAGGGGCCTTTCAAGGTCATTGATGTGGCCAAGGTACTTAATGAGCTGAGCTTTGCCACTGCCATGTGGCAACAATTTGGAAACTCTGATGCATCCATTCTCTGCCTCATAGTCAGGTTCATCTTCACTCATCCAATTCATCTTCCTCTGGTGCACCTTTCCTATTCTGCCCACATCGATCACCTTTTCTCTATTGTAATTTAAAACACATTGTCTATTAATAGTTCAATCCACTCTTTGAAGTTAATTGGGCACTTCCACAGCTCTAATCTGCTGACACTTTTCACTGCTCCTAGTGCCACTTTTAGGTCAGGAAGTAACTGCAAATCTTTACTTAGCTGAGAAGTATTTTCCCCCACATCCATATGGAAAATGCCTCTTTTATGAGTACGGAGCATTTCAGGTGGAATTTGACATGTTGTTAGTGACTGTTCAGGTTGAGTGGCAGAATTCATGCATCCATGTCTAATGCCATTTAGTACTCCTGGAGATGGAAAAAAAATAAAAAAATCAATTCTGCCACTTTCCTGTGACCTAAATTTAAAATGGCACCGTTAAAAAAAATCCTTCTCTTGAAGTTGAGAGGTGAAAAGAACTAAGGGAATTTACACAGCAGCATAAAAAGAAGTAATTCCTAAACGGTGGGCACAGATACCTGCCAGCCTATGTGCTCTGCAGGGTGCACCTCCCCATCTCCCAAATTCACTCCACTGTCTCCTAATCCTGAGCAATGCTAGAGGTGGACAGGAACAGGTTGTGGGGAGCCTCCACTGAAGCAGTAACGGAGGGAGAAAGGACGTGATCCTCTGCAGAGTCGGAGATTGCTCTATAGAGCTGACAGCTGCTTAGACAGATCTCCCTCAGGACAGCCTATGTCAGAACAGAAAGGGGAAGCTTTCCAAGCGGTGTTCGCCATCCTTCTTGCCTTCCTCATTCATCAACTTCTTCCACAAACAGATGGTCTCCTTCTAAAGTTAAACATTAAGAGAGTACCTGTAGTGTTCACATCCCTTCCCCTTGGTCCTGGTATCCTTTCTTCCACATCTGTGTCACTGAAAGGCAAAAAAGAAACAAATGACCCACCCACAAGCCCAAACAAACAACAGAAATGGAAGACCAGAGCAAGCCAGGAACAAAGCAAATGCCAAGAAGTCAGTTACAGGAACGGGGAAAAAGGACTGAGGAATTCTAAGCCAACACCCTTTCCTTTCCGCACCTGGTATCTACAGTATGTGAAGTAACTGGTTGCAAGAGTAGATGCCACATAGTCACATAGACAGATGTTACTTGAGGTAATGAAGCATGCCAAAATAAGATAGCTAAAACAAAAAATCCGTGTAAATGTACATTTATTATCATTTTTAACATATCAGGTTGATTTATCATCTTACAAGGCTGAAAAAACTCTAGGTTATTATGAAGAATATCTGTCATCCTCACGGCTGAAGACTTGCACGCAGGCTCTCTCTATCTTCCAGTGGTTTGGCAGCTTCACACCAGAAGGCAGTGAAAACAATTGCATACAAAAATGGTGATGTATATCAGAATGGGAAATTAATTGTGGTTGGGACATTCCCCATGGTGAGTGGTTATGATTCCAATGTATTCTTAGATGTGGTGATAGGGTTATTCCTGATAGGAGTGTCAGGGCTGAATGACAACATCCCTGTTCAGATTCGCTACTTTAAGCCAATGAGATCCAGACCTCTGTTTCCTTCATGGCATTTTTCTGATCATTTGTCTTTGAATACAGTCTTAGAAAAATTAAGAAAAAAAAGAATAATTTTTAGAATGTGTGCTGTACTTATGTACATGCAGGCAAAACATATAAAAATAAATTAACCACAAACATTTCTGCAAAAATAAAAAATAAAGATATTTTTGCTCAGTGGACTAAACAAAATATGGGAGTTGATAACTCTAAGATTTACCCAATGATACAAGGCTGGCTTTTATGATCCATTTTCCTATGTATAAATGGAAGTGACAGTATGTGACCATTCTTCATTTGAAATTTGACCATTTATTTAAAGATGTTATCAATTTGCAGTAATGCACAGTTTTCTACCTTATAGTACAACAAAAAGTAAAGTGGATTTCTAAGTTGAACACTTTAAATAAGGTAGTTTGGTGCTAAAATGTATGAATAGACATGAGCAGCTGGCTTTAAATTTTAGAGCTGGGAATTTTTAAAACTAGATTGACTAAGGTTAAAATAGTTAAGGCAACCTAATATCAAAATTTGTTTTTAGTTAAAAAATTAACATCAGCAATTACTCGAAGTCTATTCTCTCAAAGGATTTTCTCAGCTTTGCACAATGGCAAGTGACTCATGATTTCAGGGTCATCATTTCCTGGTAGTTCTTCACTGTATGTTATATAGCTTCTTGCAGAATGCACAGAAAGACTTGGACTGCCCAGAGCAGCCTCCAAAGTCTACACCAGAGATGGAACTACCATCCTCACCTTGCATGACTTAGTTCTATGGGCTCTACACGAAACCCTTATCCAGAGAGACCCCAAGGAACAAGAGAAAAACACAGCTCCTGCTGGAAAGAGGAGACAGGTTGGTTGCTGCTTGCAGGCACTAGTTGGTTCTGTTTCTGTTCAACCATGAGAAAGATAAATATGATTCATTTAATCACCACTGCAAGAATTTTAGTTATATCCAGCTGCTTTATGATTCAGAGTGTCAATGAGATTCTCATACTGACCCTGCCTCCGAATAAGAAAAAAATGAAAAAGTAGTGCATATTTTTGTTTGAGCACTGAAGTAATAAATTGCATGATACTGATAACATCTACTCGACAGTTTTTATAGCATTAATATTTTCATTCTAAAGTTCAGATCTGGAGAGAACTTAAGAAATTGTGACTAACTGAATGCAAATCTCTTCTTGCTGTTAGAAGCGAAGTCTCCTCTCCAGACTTTTCCTGCCCTCTGCTCGCCCTGCCTGTCTTCACTGCTGTCCACGCTACTGTAAGCCCCTAGAAACTCCAGTCAATGCCTCTCTCTTGCAGCTTTTGCTGCATCTTATAAATATTGCACACATTTTTGAGTATCTCGTTAGACTATGTACAACACAAGGGTAGGGACTGTGCCCCAAACAACAATACGGATTGAAAGGAGATCCTGATAGTGGTGATCCAGTAGCATCTCTGTGTGAGATTTTCTACTCCTGTACTGACAGGCATGGTTAGAGGTTATGGACTTAGGTTTGGGAGCCAGAACGAATAACAGGTTTCAAGTCCTAGCTTGGGCTCTTGCTAGCTGAATGAACTTGATCAAATTCTTCAACCAGTTTCTACTTCAGCTTTCTCATTTATAAAATGACTATACTAATAGTTATTGCATTATGGAGCACTAATGAGAATCAAATGAATATAAAATACATATTTATGCCAGCTATTTGGTGGCATATGCCTTTAATCCCAGCACTCAGGAGGCAGAGGCAGGTGGATCTCTGTGAGCTTAAGGCCAACCTGGTCTACACAGTGAATTCCAGGCCATCTAGGGCTACAGGGGAGTCCCTGTCTTAAAAAAGACAAAAAAAAAAAATACCTATTTATGTGACTGTGTCTTAGTCTTTTCTGTTCTATTATAACAGAACATTGCAGACCAGAAAACGTTTAAGGAAAAAAATATTTTTCACAGTTTAGAAGACTGGGGTATCCAAATCAAGGCACTGAGAGGTTTAACTGTCTCCTAAGAGTGCATCACATCTTTTATTAGTTATTTATTTTTTGGTCTTTTTGTCTTCCTGTAGCCCCAGCTGGCCTGGAACTCACTATGTGGATCATATTAGCCTTGATCTCACAGATATCTGCCTGCCTCTGCCTCCCAAGTTCTGGGACTACAGGCATCACCATGCCTGGTATTACGTCTTCTTTTGGGTTGTAAGCCTGAACCTTTAACAGCTGCACCAGCTCTCCAGCCCAAGAGCTGCATTTTCAACAGAGAGGAAATGCTGGATCATCACATGGCAGAAGTTGATAGACAGGAAGAGTCAAAAGCTGTGTGAAGCCTCTTTTGTAAAGGCCTTAATCCCATTCAGAGAGGAGGAACTCTTAGATGTAATTACCTTTTAAAGAGCCCACCTTGGGCCTGGGAGATGGCTCAGTGGGTAAAGTGCTTGCTGTGCAAACATAAAAATCTGAGTTAGGACTCGCAGCACCCACATTGTGGTAGCACCTGTAAACCTAGCAGTAGGGGAGGGGATAAGTGGATCCCAGGGGTCCCTGGCCAGGCAGCCTAACCAAAACAGCAATTGCCAGGATTAGTGAGACTCTTTCAAGAAAATAGTTGGCAGTGATAGAGAAAGACATCTCAACATCAGTCTCTGCCTTCCACACACACCTGTGCGGGTGAATGCACTCACATACGTTCATACACATATATACACTACATGCACATAAATAAATAATAAATAAATAATAGACAAAATTGATGACCCCCCCCTTTTTTTTGTCTTTTTGAGACAGGGTCTCTCTGTAGCCCTAGCTGGCCTGGAACTCACTGTGTAGACAAGGCTGGCCTTGAACTCACAGAGATCCGCCTGCCTCTGCCTCCCAAGTGCTGGGACTACAGGTGTGCACCACCATGCCAGGCTGACTCTCACTTTTTAATAGCACCACATTGGCCACTAAGTTTCAAAATTTAGAGTGGACACAGCCAAACATTAAAAATATACACAGGCATATACATACATACATACATAAACAAATATATGTATGCATATTCACTTGAATATTTAATATTCTTTACATAGAACTGGAATTTGTTATATATATATATATATATATATATGTGAGATATACATATATAGAGAGAAGTACCTGATAATATATATAATCTCTAATATATATCAGTCAGCACCTGACTGATACCTACCAAACATTCAATGCCCATTATCATTACTGTATATAGGACATTTTATTGTTTCTCCAACCAATTTTAGGAAACAGTGATATGGACATTTAATATTTGGATATCACTAAAGCACATAGCTCTGTCTTTGTTTTGTGTTTCAAGTTTCTGTGAGTATTCATTTCAAACACACATCTTTCAAATTCTTATTTAAACTCCTCTGGAAGTTCAGAGTCATGCGCTCACTGGGACCATGAAAAGGGTGTCCTGATGGGATTCCTTCCAAAGCTTATTCTGCAGCCAGGCAAGGTCTTGAGTAGGCTGCCCCTTTATGGGGTTGTGGTTTGGTATTATGCCATCAACTTGCACCTAAGAACTTTAAAGAAACAGCTTTAGGTTAGAATTCAGCACAGTGCATTTGTTGGGGACCCTTGTTGTGTAAAGTAGTAGTCTCTTCATGTCCGGATAGCCCATGGGCTCGGTTCAAATGCAGAGACTCCTTTTTCAGCAGGGTGCTTTTCTGGCATCTTCCTGACTCATCTTTTGAAGTAGCCACCACAAAAACATAGCCTCCGGCTCTGGAAATGCCAGGCTTTCCTGTGTGATTTTTCAGGCAGTCTGGCAGCCTGGCAGGAGCTTACTTCCACATGTAAATGGGGCATCCTAAAAGTACCTAGCAGCTAAGGTTTTTACTACCCCCCCCATGGTATAAGTGTCCTGGTTTTTCCTCAATAATTGGAGCTGGAGCTGGATTACTAAGACTTGGAGCCGAGCAGAGTCAGGAGAATAAAGAGCTGTAACATGGACTAAGCTGAGTCCCGTGTCTTATTGCCTATGATCCAGCCTCCCCGGGGGGTGCTTTCCTTCTGTCATTAACTCACAGAACCCTAGCTTTAGCCGCCTTGCACCTTCCCACGTGATCCAGCGGCCGGTGGATTTCGCATCTCGAGGAAGTGCATGGGTGAAATTAGGGCGGAACTCGGCCGGGCCAGCCCCGGTAGTGGAGGGACTCACAGCGGAGAAGCAGCAGAGAAGCAGGGGCCCGCCAGCAATGCTCTGCGGGACCCGCCGCCTTCCCAGTGCGCACAGGGGACCGGCGCCACACTAGCAGCTGGCACCCCGAGATCCCTGCGCACCCCATATCTGGCGCCCAACGTGAGAGCCTCTGAATCTTGTGCCAGCTAGCAGCTGGCACCCTCTGAAACGCAGGATTCATGAGTATCCCTCCCCATCAGGAGGGCAATACAAATCTCTTCTAATTTCCTCCTTTTGTTTCCAGTCTAAAAGTCTTCGAGTGGGACCGCTAAGGACAGAGAGACAACTGAGGCTTCCTGGTCCGGGCTACTCCCTGATGTTAGCTAAAGGTCTCTTTGACCCCCTAACGGACCCCGACTGCCTGCAAAGGTGTAGACAAAAGACCTCTATCTATATATCTTTCTAATATAAAAATCTGGTGACGCAACGGCCACTTAAGAGTCATTAGGATGGCCGCCAGTTCCTTAAATTTGTGGGAAGGCCTGTGCTGGGAACCAAGTGGGATCCCCTGAAATTTCAATTTCAGGCACGTTCCCTTGGGAACCATCACTTCACCCCACTTTTTCTATCTTAAAACTGCTAGAGAAAAAAAAATCCCTAAAGTTCTAAGAAATCTCCACATGAGCTTTGGAGTTAGGCAGATTTCTCTAGTCAGCTCTGTCACCCTGCCCCCAGGCACTCAAGCCGCAGCTAAAACCAGTTAAGTGAGAATTTAAATTAACTAGCCAGTTAAGTGAGAACGGAGAACCTGGGAGTCCAAGGCGGCTCACGGCCAGAACAAAAGATTTAAAAGTAACTTTTTTTCTGCAGTCTGAGGCTTGTAATTTCTCAGGGCATTCCAACCCCCTAGTGCCAGACTGCTGTAAAAACATCTCCTTTTATAATGGGAAATTCAACATCACGCCAGAAAAAAACTCCAAATTCGTTCCCTTAGAGCCTTACTTAAATCAAGAGGGCTTAAGATCTCCCAAAAGGAAAGCTTAAAATTTTGGAACGAAGTGTATCAATTTGCGCCCTGGATCCTATCAGCAGACATATCTGATCCAGAGGTCTGGAACCTTCTTGTGCATCTGGCTCATAAAAAAGAAATCCAAGAGAGGCATAAATTCCCTCTTTCCTTTTTCCCGATAATGGCAGCCATGCAGCAATTCTTAAAAAAACCCACCTAAGATTGAGGAAAGTTTGCAAGCACCAGAAAATAATAAAAGAGAGGTTTTAAGTGATAAAAAAAACCCTGCAGACTGCCCAGTAGCAGATTCAACAGCTCCAAAAATAGAATTTGACCAAGTCAGACAAAACCCACCCATCAACAAAATTAACTCTTATCCCCCTCTTGCTGATTCAACAAGCCCAGATACTAACGCTCAGATTTCAAAAGCCCCCAAAAATCCTCAGGTAAATTCCCCTCCCCATTCACCTCGGCTACCACCATGCCTTGTGGCTCTGCCACCACCTGTGGCGCCACGCCTTACAGCCACAGAACAGCTGTGTAACCTTAGAGATAATGGGAGTTGCCAGCCTCAAAATTTCCAGCCTCAATGGTCTCAGGACCCCCAAATCCCACAGGTAGAGGCTTTTCCTGTTAACTTACAAATAACAAGGCAACGCCCACTAGCCTGGTACCCACTCCCA